AACTCTTAATGAGTAGTTCCTTCTTTAATACAGAGATTTTTTTTTCTAGAGAACTAACTAACTAGCTAACTAACTAAACTACCTTCTAGGATATTTCATTCAACCCATTCAACTAAAACTTAGCATTCTGCATGTAGTGAGTGTCCTCAGTTTCTCTTCAGTCATCTGGTTTCCAAATGCCTTGGAATAGTGACTGTAGATTTGCACAAGTAACAAGAGACAGAAAGAGAAAGACTACCTAAAAAGGAATTTTGATTGGAATTTTAAAAAAAACGCTGCATCTGATTAGTGTACTGATAGCTCAGCAAAACCTAATTGTCTGCAGGACTAAGATCAACATACTGTACAACATCTAGAGCAGATATTCTGTTTTTCATTTCCTTTTGCAAAAGAAATGGTAGTGCACTGTAAGAAGATCTGAGGAAGCAGATCCACTGGATATATGGATATATGTTTTTTATCATTATCAAATTATCAAACAATATCTGAAATATCACTTTCACATGATTATATGGTTTTATCTATCTATCTATACTAGATAGATATTAAATAAAATGTGGACTCAAGCAAGTGGTGTAGGGTGCCCAGTCTTAGGAGGCATGAAGGGAAGATTTCTTCTTCTTTGCTATAGATTTTTATGGTACCTTTGAGGATTAACATGAGACACTCTTGAGATAGTCTATTACTCCTTAAAGGTATTGCATGCCTCTATCAGGGATAGAGTTAAAGATATGAAGGCTGAGGCAGAAATGAATTTGGGGGAAGATTTTTTTTTCCAGTTTTTTTCCTCCAATAAAAGGGAAGGCCAAAAGGAAAATATTCTTCCCAAAGGGGAAAAAAGAGATCCCCCTCAATGTTTTGTTTGTTTCCTGGATCTTCAAATATGTTGACAGAGACTCAGAAGTTGATAAATTTGGTACTACATGTAGCTGGGCCTCCCTGATGATTATTGATTTATTACATTTATATCTCACCTTCTGTTCAGGAGCTCTAAGGGGTTTATAAAGGGTTCCCTTCTCCAATGGTTTGCCAACAGTTCTGTGAAGTAAGCTGGGCTGAGAGAAAGCAAAGTCACTTAATGACTTTCTATCACTGAGAGAGGACTTGAACCTGGATGTCCCCAGTGACAGTCCAGTACTTTAACCACTGGATCTCTAGCTACTGGAATTACAACTTGGAATATCTTACTAACTGAAACACTTCATGACTGAGTCCACCTATACTGGTGACTGGACTTTTGTACTACTTGGAAGGACAATTTAGCATAGAAAATTATCTGAACAATAAACTCTTCCTGTTGCTGGTATATTTTTATGTAGTCCCCAAGTTGCACTCTTGGCTCACCATGGCCCAGCTTCCTATACCATGGCCTTGACAAAGCCAAAGGGAATGACAAGGCCACAGTATTATTTTCAATGGGATCTCTGATTGCAAAGATAAAATAGCCAAATGTCATAGACAGATTATAAATTAACTTGGCTGCAAAAAGGGCCATAGCAGTGGGTAGAAATCCTTGATGACCAAGAGCTGCATTAAGCCTTGGTGGATGGTGAGGGATATGAAGTTCAATGTGGGGGAGTTGTTGTTATTATTTTTTTAAATAAACTATGAATTACTTATTGTAGGATTACTGCTGCAGTTTCATTTGTTCCCTACTTTAAATTGGTGGGAAATGGGGCTTTCAATTTTCTGCAGACATTCTGAGAGAGGATCAGGGGCTTTGGAATTTTGGTTGCCAAATGCCTGGGTAAAAAGCCTTCTCTTATAGATGATGCATTTTTTTGTCATTCTGATTTTTAAAAAAAAGACAATAATGGGTTATAAAGCCCTTGACCATACTTTGGTAAAATAAAAGAAAAGTAAGTAAGAATTGAAGATAAGTCTATTTTCTAAAGGGGTGACTTCTATTTTAAAGCTCTACCTGGAACATCAGGGAAATCTTATGTTTTTTATACTGGACGCAGTTACCCTGCATTGCTATTTACAGCATATGAACTACTTTGCTAACTAATATAAAGGACTCTGAATTAACTGTGGGACGTGTTACTGCAATGCTTAAACCATTTGCGTTAAAGGAAATAAAATGGAAGAAAATGAAGTTTTCTTCAGTTTCCAATATGAATGAAAAGAATACAAATAGCTGTTGTGTATTAAAATACTCGTATGGATTTGTAAAGCATAGTACTATAAATATAGAACAAATGCCTAACTGGATGTAACACAGGCATCACAGTAGCCCGCAGAGCGAACGTTCAATGTTGTTTGCACAGAAGACATGCCGGTCCAAAGCTGCCTGCTGCTATATTATGCATTTCAGTCCAGTTCTGAATTTGCTCAGGATAGCAACTTTCTCTTGGGGCTCTGAATCTAATACTGGCTAAGAAACACAATTTGCCAGTATCCAAGAATAACTATAGGGATAACTCACTAGTTCACTGAAGCTGAGAGAGTATATAAGGCAAACAGCTCTTTTACAAAGCAGCATAACAAAGATAGGTTACATGTTTAAATTTATGCTAATGAGAGCATCAAGTAATGATAATTCATAGCAGAGATAGGCAGCTTGTACTGTAACAGATGTGAACTGAACTACCATCCCCAGCAGCCACAGCAGTCAGTATGGCTGATGGAATGGGATCATATTTGTAGTTCAGCAATACCTGAAGCATCAAAAGTTGCCTAGCCAATGGAATTAATTATCCTAGGCCTAGAATAACAAGCCTCAAACTTAATTATTCTCATCTCTATAAATAAGCTCAGGAGATGAATGAAAGACTGAAATGACTCCTGAGCTACATATATTCTCTTCTATTGGAACAAGCCTTTATTTATCAGCATTCCTCCAAGGCCTAAGGCTAATAATTCTGGTTCTCTTTTTATGTTGAACGGCTCAGGGTAGGATCTTGTAAGGATCTTGCAAACTACAACTGTTGCTGCTGCTACTACTTATCAACATTACGTAAAACATTGAGTAGTTTTCCATTCATTGAGCTCAAAGACAGATGAAATATATTCAGAACACCAGCCCCAATGCGCTCCAGTATGAAAAACAAGGCAGGAGAAGAGTCAGTCCATCGTGGAATACTTGAGGAAATGGAGCATGCTTCTCTTCACTCACAGCACTTCCTGTTCAGCACTTGCTATGATGGGTAAAAGGGCTTCAAGAAAAGAAGGATTAAAAAAAAAAAAAAAAATTCTATACATGTCTATGTTTAAGCAATCACTACTGGTTTCAAAGAACATACTTCCAATAAGTATACACAGAGTTGTGCCTATGTATATTTCTGCATAGTAAAAACAGGGGTAAAATATTCTTAAAGGATTATTATAACCTAGTTAATACTTTATACTATTTCATGGTTTATTTAGAAGGTCCAATTATCTGGATTCTTAAATCATGCTCGGCCATAAACCATGGTTTATAAGCCATAATGGCTAGACCCACATAACACATACTAAAACATGACACCTTAGCAAGCAGATCTTTATATGGGCTTGAAGCTCCTTGCTTGAAATAAAGGCAAAGGTTACAACAAAATTATATCATTCCTATCTCTGAATGGCACAACTGATCTCCATTTCTGATGGCAAAGAACACCACATATGATCTCAGTTTATGAAAGAACATCAAGCAAGATGTTTAGGAAAAAAAAGTTTGCTGTTTAACTTAAAAATCCAAAAAAGCACTGCTTTTTTGAACTGTTCAAAGATGACTGGAAAATCTGTGGCTATCATGTCTGGTCTGCAAAGAGATACAGTGAATGTTTAACTCTTTGCTGCCATCTAGTAGTTGTTCTGATTTTTGCTGCTCAGATATATAGTACAGCCCTAGGGAAATACCTTTTGAACTAATTGCCTATTTGGCTTCCAATTTGTGTGTGTGTGTGTGTGTGTGTGTTAATATGTTTTTCTTACATGGCCCCTAAAATGCCCTCTCAGCTTCTTCACACCAAATATGGTTCCTGATATATTTCTCTGTTCCACTGCCTTCTCTATACCAAATATGGTTCCTGATATATTTCTCTTCAACTTTATTACAGTTTGCCATCCTCATAGTAGCTACTTCATCACCCTCAGAGCAACATGCTAGTTGTTCCAACTCGCTTGGCTGGTAGAAACCACAAATAAAAATCAATGCCAGCAGTCTGAGACTGGAGGATACTCTGCCTTCCCTTTCACAATTAATGCCACCATTGCCCTCATCCATGTGCAACAGTCACTCTCCCCTTTGTTTCTGGGAGTAAGGAGCTGGTTTAAACATCCCTGGCTGGCTCCAATTCTAGTCTGGCTGCTCAGGACTTCTAATATGCAGGAACACTTCCAATGTGGGGAGCCTGTCAACTCTAATGAAGACAACTGTGTCAAATATTTTAAACACAAATTCTCCATTTACTCAGGGAAAAAAAAATCATTACTGCTCTGGTGATGCTAGAACCATGCAAACTGTTTACATGATCAAAACCTTATACTGAAATCCAGCAGATTAACCCCTGCTAGGATATGACAGGCAGCAGGTAAAAAAGGGAAACACCTTTTGAATTAATTACATCCTACATTTCCAAAGCTTTTCTCCTTTCCTCTTCCTTGATAGCTTCCTCCTATAGAAGGTCAAAGTACAGCCCTGATAAAAGTCCATTGGGGTGAAGGAATCAGAGGCCAGGTAATATAACAGAAAAAAGAGGGGAGGTGTCAAGGTGAAAATGAGATCCTGGTGCTACACAATAGTCTGAAGGCCCAAGGCTTCTATGGTGGAAATGATTTTGAATAAACCAGGACATCTGAAGATAAACCCAGTGGCACTGCCTTCTTCTCATGCAGGATGCAGTGGTTAAACCTTGTAGTTTTTAACATGTAGATTTCTCGCAGGACTCTAATACCATCCAGACAGAAAACAAGCAACCGGGGTGAAGTTTCTAGCGTAATCCTCCTCACGCACTAGTTTTCTGCAGGCATGGATCTCTTCCTCTCTTTCACAGAAAAACCCTCCAAGGTCCTCTTACCTATTTTTTTGCGGCGCAACAACAGAGGCATGGAATTACCCTTCATCAGAACGAGAGTGGTCGGAGCCTACGCGGATGTCTTCGAGCCACAAGAGTTGTTTTTGTCGCCACGCTCTTTCTGAAAGCCGCCTGACTGACCTAACTTTCTTTCCTGGCGACACGCTCGCGCGCCCACCCACCCGCGCCGCAGAAAATCGCCCTCTAGAACAGCTGAGGGGTATAAGGAGGAAGCCCGAGGGAAAAGGGCCCTGAAGGAGCTACCCCGTTTCCTCTTCTCCCTCTCCCCCCCCC